GTTTCGAAATAAAGAAACTTTATTGGACTGTGAAGGTGAGACACAACTCGTAACCCTTCCTCTCCACCCTGCAACGGCTCGTCCCTTTTATCTGCAACCTCACCCAATAGGACGCTCTGCATGTCTGTCTTGCATTACCCCCCCAATCCCCTGCCTCCCCCCCTCTCCCATCCCCTCCCTGCCTCCACTCTCTTTGGTGGTGCTGATGTGTTAGCGAGTCGCTAGCTGGCGCTATCGTCTCTGTTTTGACCACGTGCGCATGCATGTCTGCCCACAGCGCATGGAGACCAAAAGAGGTCAGTCACCTTTACAGAGAATCAAGGCCAGCAGGCATCCACGGGGGCAAGCAAGCCTCCAACTCCCAGCACTGTGGACCCACCGGGCGAAGGCAGAGGGACGAGTCCTGCCCCATCAAAGTCCCCAACCCTGGAAGTACCCCCCACCTCTTCAGCCATGATCTTGGCTGACCTGCATGGACCTACAAATGCACAGGTAGGACCAGCTGAAGGAGGAAATGCAGAATGCTGTGGACATTAAATAAAATAAATAAAACTATAATACTAAGTGTTACCTACATTTATTTCATCTTCTTCTTACTATCGCCATGTTTTATACCATGTCATGTTGTGGTATAAACAATACAATTGAAGTACTTACATAGTTGGTTCACCCAAAAAGAAAAAAATCCTAATTTTCTTTGTAGCAGTATCTACTGATTTATATTCACCAGCTTTTTGATTAGGTACACTTTGCTAGTACTAGGTCGGACTGCCTTTTGTCTTCAGAACCACTTAATTCTTTGTGGTATAGATTCAACCCAGTGGTGCTCTGGATTGAGATCTGATGACTATGGGGGCCGTTTGAGTACAGAGAACTCAGTTTGAGATGATTTTCTGTTTTTCAGCTCATCCCCTGTAAAACTCCAGAGATGGTTGTTTACGAAAAATCTTAGCAGTTTCTGAAACGCTCAGACCAGCAACAACATGCCACATTCAAAGTCATTTCAATCACCTTTCTTCCTCATTCTGATGCTCAGTTTCAACTTCAGCAAGTCGTCTTTACGATGTGTGCATGCCTAAATATAAAGGGTTGATCGATTAGATATTTGTGCTAGCAAGTAGTTGAACAACTGTACCTAACAAAGTGGCCAGTGAGTGGACCTAGTATTGAGCCCTGTGGCACGCCTTTACGGCCTTCAAACCAGAATGATGACCATCTGCAGCTATTCCTCTAATTTTAAGGAGATAAAAATATAATTTTATGTCATTTATGTGTGAAGTAGCCAAAAAAAGCTAAACTACAGGAGCAGGTGTATTCCCACACAGGTCCCTCAAGCATTAAGCAGCAAGGAGAAGAGAGAGCAGTGGGGGCTACGCAGCAGCCTCTCCCCTCCCCCATCCATCTCCCGGCCTTCCACTCCAACACCCCCATCCCGAACCTGCTCCCCTCTCCCCCTCTCCAGAACCTGCTCCCCTCTCCCTTTGTCCCGCACCTCCTCTCCTCTTCCACCGCCACTCCCAGTGCTGAGCACAGCTCCCGCTCCGGGTCCACCGCCGCCACCTCCATTACCACCAACTCATCTTGCTGCTGCTCCTCCTCCTCCACCACCCCCGGGGCCTTCCAGGATCAGAGAGAGCCCCGGGGACGAGGACACAACCGCCCTGCTGCCGCGCAGCGACACCCTGCTGCAGCTCAGCGAGGACGACGGCACCGAGAACCCGCTTCTCACCCCGCTGCTGTCCCCTCCTCCCCCCCGCCGGTCGCCCCGCCGCTCTCCCCTCCCCCTCTCACCCGTCGACCTGGACCTGGATGAGTCCCACGTGTGAGAGAGGTGACGGATGGATGTTTTTTCTATCCAGATGCTCTATAAAACACAAAAAGTAAAGTTTTTGGTTTTACTGAAAGTCTTAAACAGTTTGAAAGGACAGGACTGTTTTGACTTTATGTCTCCTAAATGAAGAAAACTCCTTCCTCTGTCTGAAATATGACAAATCAGAGTCACTCTCTTATCTTCTCTGTCCTCAGACTGAGGGCTGAATGTATGTTACAGCAGCAATCGACATAGGGGCTCATCTCTGGTCCTCACCAAGAGCAGAAATGTTTTTTCAGCAATGATATCAAATACCTATTTAAGATAAGAGAAAGGATTATTTAACTCAGTAATGACTTTTAAAATAGAAAATATGTCTATATTGAAAAAGGAGATGATATAACATGTGATGTGGTGCAGATTTGTATAAACGTTATAAAGAGCCATTCTAAAGATAAAGTGAGTGACTTATCTTAGCACCTTTATTTGAAATGGAGTAAAGGGAATAAATATATAACACAGCATATGTATTTTAATCACATAGAAGTGGAGTATGACATGTTGTAATCCAGAAGTCTATGAGATTTTATATTTTAGAAAGAGATGTTTTTTTTCTGTCATTTGCACTTCAAAATGTTCATAAAGTCGAACACACGTGTTTCCAGCTAAAACGCCGTCATGTCCAGTGCTTTGTTAAGTGATGATGTTTGTAAAGTAAACATCTTGACGTGGATAAAAACTTTTCCATCAACTCTGCTAAAAAATAAAAGTTTAGGATAAATCAGAGACGCTCAACAGGATAACCGAAACAAATTCAACACAATTTTGACTTTTTGTGGTTTTAGCGTGGATGCAATCTGAAAGGCTAACGCTAAACTGTAAACATGGTCACATGACTTTTTCATGTGAGAAGATGCTGTGCCGTCTAATCGTGCTCCCTGTATTACAGCACAGTCTCACAGCAGCTTATGAAGTAGTTGCGACCTTTGTGTTCATGTTTATGCACCTCGTATTTTCACGTTTAAAAGGAGAGAAAAAATCCACAGTTGCACAGATTGACAGAGTTACATGGATGTGAGAGATTACAGGGGTTGCAGTAGTTGGAGGAATGGGACAGATTGCAGAAATTGGTAGCAGGGATATGAGGGGATGTAGGAATTGTGAGGGTTGCAGAGATGAGAGGGATTGCAAGAGTTGTAACGGCTGCAGGAATAGGAGAGACTGCAGGAATATGTAAAAAAATCACTTTTGGTGTATTTACTGACGCATCCCGCCAACCCCAACGATGGCACGGACCATAGTGTGCACCATAACTGGAGAGAAAATCATGGTGACCAATCAGGAACTTTGTATGGTAGACCCTCCCACAGCCTCTGTCATCCCAGGCTTCATCTTTGGGGCTTGGCTGTGGAAACACAGCAAAAAACCAACCAATTCCCCTTTTAAATGTAGAGACACTACATTTGAATGTGTTTTATCTGTTTGTTAGTTTTAGGAAGAAGGCAGTAGATTGCGGCTTCACCGGTAGATAAATAAACCAACACCGGTTGTGCTATCGCCATCATCATGCAGTCATAATGTCCTACCATTGTCTCATTGAGTTCAGCTCTAACTCTAAAGTGTATGTTGTGCACAATATTTTATTTGGGACCAAAGACTGTATCTTTACATAGCAGTTATATATGTAAGAAAAAGGCATATAATATTTACAGAGACACTTGTCCTGGTGTTGGTCATGCTGTTCTGTTTGTGTCTGTGATGTCTTCTATTCAGAGCAGTGGGGACGGGATGTCTCTTATCTTTATTGCAACTGTGACGATGCAGTAGATAGACGTTACCTCGTTTCTCATTTCATGCCTTAACAGAGACGTCTGCATACATCGGTTTATTTAGTCCACTGAGAACCTCATACCTCCAGGAGTATCCACTGAAACAGTCCCGCAGTAACGTCAGGTTGTTTTCTGTCTGCCGTGTTCGTGACACTCAGCTGCTTGCTGTGGCCTCCACACTCAAACCTCTCTGTGTGCTGTCAGGCCACAGAAGACAAAACGTGCCATAACTCACACCAGTGCACTGTGAGTGTTTTATTGTTGGCTGCTTGTCTTTCTTTTTTCTGTGTCAGGATTTGTGACAAATTATGTAATCATTTTGGTTACGCAGAGACTCAAGTTACGCAGAGGGAATGATGCATTTCTTAAAGGGGGTTGTCGTTGTGTCGTCTAAATCCACGCAGCTCTGCAAATTCTTCATTTGATGTTTCTAAATGCATATCACGCCAAGCCTAGAGTGTAAAGACGCATCGGCATATTTATTGTTGAGGGTCGCTGGGTTTGTCACTCCCTTTAAATGTAACATGTCTGTGTCGAATGATGTCTTCTTTGTGCAAAGATTAAATAATAAAGCTTCACTATATCAGAATATTTCCTAAATATCTAAATAAATGGATATTGTTTACACTGTTTTTCAGCTTTGTGTGGGTTTTTTTTTAATGGAGGTTTCTGTCATTTTCAGTTCTTGCTTTGAAAATAGCTCAGCAAGATGACTGACAACTTTTTTAAATAGGGTCAGGTTTCTTTCTTTTTTTTTTTTTTACAGTAGTTCTGAGAGGTCAAACACACTGCGACATAAGAAAACAAAAGCATATATAATATAAAAATGCTGCAAAAGCTAAAAAAAAAATCAAGAACACAATGGGTGTGTTTTTGGGGAGAAAATAACGTGACAGACGAGCTAACAATGAACAGCTAATGGAAAACGTACTGACACTATTATATTAATCATATGTTTAAAACACTTTATGTTCATCTTTTTATTCCTCACAACATCAATGAATCCTCTGCTTCTTCTAAGCCTGTGTCACTGTAAGCCTACACTTGTTTTTGGTTTCTGTCACTTCCGTAGCTGGTCCGTCACATTATTGTGTCCCCAAAAACACATCCATTACGTTTTGTGATATTTTCTTCTATTTTTCTACTTCCTTCGTGTTTTATTCGACTTTTGCTGAGTTTTTTCTACTTCTATTGTGGTTTACTGTTGTTGTTTTTTTTAAGTTCCAGTGTGTTTAACCTCTCAGGGTCATTGTATTTTTCCCTTAACAAATGCAATCATTTAAAAAGTGCACTTTGAATTTACTTGGTTAACCTCTCTCTGATATTAAAATTTATAGCATAAGTGTGAGAAATGTGCAAAAAATGAGAAATCAGAGAGGGGGCAAACTTTTTCACAGTATGGAATTTTATATTGCACAACTTAATGACATAAACAGATTTAAAGTATAACATGCCCACTGATTAGTACGACATATTTATTATTGAAATGTCAACAGTAAAATAGCTATTTACTCAAGTTTAACTAACAATCAGTTCATTATTAGCAGTGGTTGTTATACGGAGTTACCCACACAAATAGTGATATACACAAATATGCTGCTGTTACAGCAGAGCAGATATTTCTCTTAAATAATGATTTTAAAAAAAAACATGTAAAATGTGCTCTAAGCAGCTTGGTGGGGATTAATTGTTTTCTGACTCAAGGTAATTGTAAACATAATGTTGAACTAGCTGTTAAGTAAAAGGCATTTGTTCGTTTTATTTTGCATAACAACAAAAGTAATCCAGAAATCAGCATTGCCATTACCAATGTGCATCATTTAATATAGCAGAAGTGCTGAAGACTTGAAAATGTAGGAAAAAAAGATAAACTTAGCATCTTGTGTCCAACATCAGTTCAGATGCATGTTTATCATTTTCACCGAGTCTGGCGCCATCTGCTGGTGCTGTTTCTTCTTGAGTCTTCACCCTGAACAGGTCCCACCTCTCTGGGAGGATCCCCTTGTTGAACAAGAGCGATGTCGCATAAGAAAATACCAGGATGGTGACCAGAGAGGACAGCATGCAAGTGGTCTTGAAAGGCCAGCGCTGCACATAAACACCATCCTCCAGAGAGCAGCCAGGGAAACGCAGGATGGCGGGAAGGTTGAACACCGGCTCGCCACACAGCACTCTCATCACAAAGGCAACAACGTAACCTGCCACAGCCCCGTAGGCATTGGATGATCCGACGAAGAGGATGCAGATCAGCTGGGGGAGCATGACGGTGTAGGTCAAGTCAGAGCTGAGGATCCAGAAGGCCAACGTTCTGCTGTCCAGGTAGGTGAGTGAGGTTCCTACAGTCCCTACGACCACTATGGAGAGGCGGATCACCCACTGCAGCTCTTTCTCTGATACCTAAACAGAACACCAAAGCTCATTTTTCCCAAAATATCAACACAAACTTTTAAGAACTCCGCATTCTGACCGACTTTGTTCCTACCTGATGCCTAACGAGGGTGTAGATGTTGGTGGTGAAGATGGAGGTTGCCGCCAGCAGGCACGAGTCAGTGGATGACATGGCAGCGCCGGCGATGGCTCCCATGCCGACAACGAAAACAGCGGTGGGGGTAAGATGCAAAAGGATAATGGGCAACGCCATGGCAGCCTCTCCTCGCTCATAGGGTGAAGGTGAGCCATAAGAGGTCAGGTTCCAGTCTGAAGCATAAGAGGAAACATTATAATGTTTAAAGTTACTGAAATATGAGTCCTCCTGCTTCTTTCTGATCTCTGGATCATCTGAATCATTCTGCTGAAGGCTCATCGTGTATGGAAGCCCCTTTTTGCCAGATAAAATATAAATTCAAAATAAAATCTATGAAAACTGTTTGGATGAGTAAAAAGAATATTAGTTAAGTTTTATGTGTAGTTAGTGTTTGAATTTTTTTTAGTAAATGATGTGCAGAGGGAAAAGGGTGAAATGGAGGCGGATGAGCCGCTGTGGGGACAACTAAAGGGTTTATCCGGAAGAAAGAAGACGTCAGGTGTACCTGTTGATGCTGCAACAGCTCCGATCAGCACAGGTGGAATTCCCAGAACAATGACCACACCTGCCGCTATGAAACAAATCATTCTGGCCGTGGCCGTGGAGCTGGAGGAGAGTGTTCTCTGATAGAAGTCCTGAAACGCCAAATTTCCAACACTCTGAAAACAAAGAGCAAGCCCACAATCTACTATGTTCATTTTTTTTAAGATACTTTTTTTAAAACCGAGAGATTTTCTTGTGTTTTAGTAATTACCAGCATAAGAACTTATTGCTCACAGTTTGTTTTTAACAAATAAAAACATATACAGGGCCAAGAGTTTAAAAGAAAATCACACTCATGATGTAGATGTCTCAAAATGCCTGAGGGCAAGAATTGATTTTCAGCTTTGTCCTTGCGCACAGAGATTCCTCCAAATTTTCTGATTCCTTTGATGATATTATGCACTGTAAATGAGGAGAGATTTAAAGTTTTCATAATTTTACGTGAGTAAAATTTTTCTGAAATTGTTCTGAAATCTGTAGACAGGTTTTTGGAAATTGGTGAACCTCTGCCCATCTTTACTTCTGAGAAACTCTGCCTAACGAGACTTTTTTTATACCCAATCACATTACTTACCTCTTGCCAGTTAACCTAATGTTCCTCCCGCTGTTTCTTTTTTATTGTACCTCTTATTTTTTTCAGCCTTTTTGTTCAATTTGTTTATTAGCAACATATCAACTTTATTTGATATAATCTTTTATATACAATGTTTTTGTTTTAATATAAGGTTTCAAGGACTTCAGATCTTATTAAATCATTAGAAACATGTTACTGTTATGTCATCTCACCATTGCGAGAAAATTATCGATCCATATCCACACGTCATCAGGCTCAAGGCGGCCGAGCCAGGGCGCCTGAAATGTGTGGTTGAAAGCCGTTTGACGGAGGTCAGTGTAGACATCACTCGCCAGAACGAAGGGAGCACACAACCACTGGAAAAAAAAAAACAGAGTAAAGCTTTTGAGAAACGAATCTGCTTCAACTGTAACGTGCACTCTTTCTTGCGAGAGATAACTTTTACCTCTGGCGTGTTGGAAAAGCAGTCTTGTTTATGTGTTGTCACATTAAACTCACCAAGCTACAAAACACCAGTGATAACTGGATGACATCAGTAAAAGCAACTGAATAGAGACCTCCAAGAACTGTGTAGACGATGCCCACCGCAGCAGAGATCCAGATGCAGAGACTTAAGGGCAGATCGGAAAAGACGGAAAGTGTGACTCCTGTTGGGAGAAAAACACACATAATCGATACCTCTGAAAATCATGTTGACCATTATAAATATTTAAAGATACTCATGGCAAATACAGGCAATTAGAAATTTTAAAACCTTCCAAAAAATAACAAAATAAGAGTTTAAAAAAAACCAGAACACCTGTGTGTTGTATTGAAGAGACGGCAACTAAAGTTGAATGCTGTAGTTTGTGTAATACCAGTTTGGACCACTAGATGTTGCAGGCGAGCCAGTGTTACTGGTGAATACGCTCTTTAAGTGGGCAAATCCTTATGAGGATATAACCGTATTTAAAATATGAAGTTTAGAGGTAACTGGTAAAATGCTGCCCCCTGGTTGTGAAAATGTTTGGCTAAATTCTGCAGGGTAACTACAAAAAGCACCTTTAGGCAACACTTCTGAAAGGAAGTGTTTGTGTGTTTATATTACCCAAGGAAATCAGCGTGACAGGAACCCACATGACTTCACTTATGAAAGGGATGATGGCGAGAAGCCCGGTCAGTGTTGTCCCATACTTCCTCTGAAAGGGATCCATCATGGTGATGTAATTTTTATCCCGCATCGGCTTTGCGAAGAACAGACCACCTTTAGCAAAAGAGACAACAATCAAAGCAGTGCAGAAATTAGATTTCAGGTTATGTTCGATTCTTGTGGTTAAGAGTTTAGTGATCGCTGAGGAATGTCAAGGTATTCAAAATTTGCCTTTAAAAGAAGGGGACAGTTAAGAAAAAAATCTTAAGTAATGATAGAAGATAAGGACATATCCTGTATGAGTGGATCTTATTTTGAAGAAAATAGCCCATTTTAGGCATATTTTTGGAGGTAAATACTCCTCTGTAAGAGGTTCTTACCGATGATGAATGAAACTGATATTTGTAGAGGAATGAGAGCCCAGATTAGCCCCTTTGTGGGGTCATAAACAGTCTCTGCAACTCCAATGACAAAGGCACCTCCAACCCAAGTAGCTGCAGCCAATCATACAAGACAGAGCACACACAAGTCTCACATTCATGGTACAAGTTACTACTTTTATAAAAGCAAACAGATATTGTTTCATTAAAAAAAAACAAAGCAAAATGTGTTTGAAGTTAGCACCAAATTACTGATCACACACTGCCAAGACGCCCACTGCCAAGGTGACCCTCCGATTAACCAAAAAAGAAACTTCCACCTGTCCACCAGCTGAATTTTTCTCCATCTTCTTAGCTTTCAAAAAAGCCCAGATCCCAATCCCCAGCACCAACAAATAAAAGATGGCCATCGTTATTAGACCAGATATATGGAGAGCCATCGTGAATTAAAATGATAATAATGATAAGTTGGAGCTGCTGAGACTTTTCCTGGTGGTTATAGAAGCAATAGAAGCTGCTCTTCAGCCGTGACGGAGGCCCTGAGTGAGACGCAGGGAGAGGAGAGTAAAGGAAGCTCGCTGCTCACCACAGGGAGGGTCAGACTGATGACCTTCTTCACACTGTGTAGCTGTATCAGACTGTATCAGACCCCCCCATCCCAACCACCCACACACACACACACACACACACACACACACCCCGCGTACACACATCTGCACCACTGCTGTCCAAGGATGTGCTTTGTAATGCTCTAAGCTTGTAAGGATTATCTTCACAGTATGAAAACTTCAGCAAGGGTTTAAGCTATGACTGCTCAAAGCATCATGTTAAAAACAAAAGAAATCAGTTTAGACTTGAGAACAGGAATTGTTGATCTTCACAAAGCAGGAGATGGATATACATAGTTATAAAGAAACTCGTTGAGAACCACTGAGAACAAACAGAGGTAAGAAGCAAAAGATTTCAAAGACTGAAAATCATGAAGATTTTGCACCAGTGCCAAAGATGCCAGCAGGAACAACAAAGCTTGGGAAGGGCAGCCAATCAGAAGAAGATGAGCTTGAAGGAAGAGGATTAAACTGCTTGTTATAGAGAATGAAGGCCCAGAATAAGATAAATGAGGATTATTTTAAACTGTGAACCATACCTAAAGCTATGAATGCTTGTTTCCAGCACTTACAGTAAATAAATAAATACGAAAAACTTTCAGAGGGTTGACAGTTGACAATTTGAGTTATCATCAATTTAGTTACACAACTCAAAACTTCGAGTTACTTCTGAGTGAGTCAAAAATCCAAGTTTTCACACAAAGCGGCTCGAGTTAATTCAAGACCAAAACAACAGAGATTAAAAAGAAGAATAACAGAATCCCCTTAAATAATATTTGTTTACTGCAAACTGTGGGGAAAAATGTGCAACTAAACTCTGAAGTTGTTTTGTTAGTCTGCCACACACTTCACACTGTGAACTTTTTGTAAAAGTCTTTTATTACCGGCATATCTCTCAAGTGTCCTTGGCATTCTTCTGCTGAGTTGCCTCGTCCTCATGTATGACTCGCGTGTTTCACCATCCTCTGGCTCTCATTTGTGCAACACAGTTGCTATTTGAGAAACAAAAAACTTTATGCTTCGATAAGAACCCTGATGACTTGATACACACTGCGTCAGCAAGAAGCAAGGTCCCCCACAAGGAAACAGTGGGTTTCCTTGTGGGGGACTGTGTATTTTATTGAAATACCTGACTTCTTGTGCCTGAGTTCAAGGTCAGCTGTCTCTCTTTCACTCAGGGCTAGCGTCGTCATAGATTCTACACAATATCCTGCCAAAATGGGCTTTAGTCAAAGTCTGAGCAAGCGAGTGTTAAGACCTAGAACCCCGTGGGCAGCAGGGCAATATCAGCAAACTAAAATATAACATTTATCTTTTTAGAGTCTGTCTTCTGACAACTCTTCCAAATAAGCCATACTTGTTCAATTAATCAATCGTTTTCTAATTACGCTGCATTGAACTTTAACACGCTAACTGAGGCCTGTAGAGTCTCAGCTGTAGCTCTTGGAAGTTTTGTAGTTTCTCTGAACATGGTCTGACTTTGGGGTGAATTTACTGGGACGTTCACTACTGGAAAGACTGCTTTTACAGAGGTGCTCATGCTGGCTGACAATCAGTTAATCAAGTGCATTTGTTCAGCTACTCACCATCTATGGAAGCAGAGAGGGTGGAGTTAGCTTTTCACAGGAGTGCATATATGTACAGTTATAATGGTGGATGTTATATTTAACATAGCGAGAGTTTCAAATAATGAGGTCAGTGTCAGTGTAATCAAAACCTCAGATTTTTTAACTACTGTGATGGCACAGATTTAGAAAATATATGATTAATGACAGAAGATATGGTCATACCAGGCTCACAGCTCTGGCTGTGGGTACAGAAGCTCCACCCATGTGCTATCAAACCTTCTGCTTATGAGGGGCAGCCAATCACAAAACAGTTGGCTTAAAGGGAGAAAGAACAGCTCGTTTCAGGCAGGATCAACTGACGGGCTGCATAAAGGCCATGAATGTGATAAATATGGATTATTTTTGAACAGTTAATCATGCAAAGCCACTCAGTCCAACAATGGAGCTGGACATGAGTGTAATAGAGCTCCCTTTAAGTTGATGTCCTGAGTAGAGTTGAAACTCCAAGCCAAAGGCTAAGCTGATGAGTTCCTAGACTTGATTTCACAGCATAGTACTGGTCATTTGTTAAAAGGGAAACTACTCTGGAGTTGTGCAGGTGTAGCTTCCAATATGTCTTAAAATCAGCCTTTTTCACATAAATAATAATGCTGATGAGTAGAGGAACCAGACACAGCATACAAGTGATACACCATTTATTAGATTATCTCACACATCCATTTTTTCCCATACCAGGTTTCCTTCAGTGCATTTCAGAGACCTGCAAGACAACCAGCAGAATCCAAAAACTAGGAGGATGTCAAAACCGTTAGTAAAAGTGCTCAGTCGAAGTCTCGACGTCAAGCATTGATTTAAAAAAAGAAACAAAAAAGAAAAAAATCAAACACACGTTAACAATACATACATCATTGCATCGGTCAGATAAGTAGGTGATGAGTGCCGTGCTCCTTGCTGGACGGCACACGCACATGAAGAGTTTACATAAGGCACCGAGATTTGAAGGGGGTAGCTTATCAATGGCAGGGTGGCTTTCTGCTCTCAGAACGTGTTGCTTTAGCAGGGAGGCGATACATACAGGATATCATGTATACGTCACAGCACGGTAGAGTGGAATCAAAGAGGAAAACAAACACTGATTGAACATGAAGTACTCAAAGTGACTCCAGAAATAAGAAGGGCAAGCTCGGGGATGGACACACATTTAAAGAAAATATTTATTTACATTACAAAAAGAAGCAAATTTGGTTAAAAGCTTTCACAACAGACATTAGGAAATTTAAGTGAGTTTGCAATCATGCTGCAGGACTTTTCCAAACACTGCAAAACCACAAAGAAAAAAGGCAAAAGACATGAAGAGTGGCATAGCATTTTTTTTTGTCCTTTTAAGAAGCATTCACCTGCGACTGAATCATTTAATTATTTAATAAAATTTGCTAATTTTCAGTCTACAACATGCTGTTCCAGCAACGTGAACTTGTCAAAAAAAACAAACAAAAACAAAACCCACATCAATATTAACAGCATTCAGCATTAAATTGAGAGCTGAAGCTTTGAAAGGAAACTTTTTGTGTTTCTAAAGGAATTTATAGTGATCATCAACAAGGGCGTACACTGACTAAACTTGGCGTTAAATTCAGTGTACATGTTGGCTGGTTACGTGCTCATTTAGCTCTTTTAAAACACTGTTTTTTGGTCTGACCTACTTACCTAAAACTCTGCATCATAGTTGCTCACGAATGCACTACTAAGCACTTACAATGGGGAGTGTCAATGTGCAAGTTTTGTTCTTTTAGTGGTCTGTCTTCTTGAGAATTATTTAGCTTGTAAAGTGCAATTGCTGAATAGTGCCACAAGGTGGTGCCTCCTTCTGCTGTACAGACCTGAGGGGTGTACTATGAAGCAAGATGAAAGGATAACAAGCTAAGTTTAGCCTAAAGTCAAAGTCTTCAGCATCACAAAGGTGTGTGTGTGCGGGGGGGGGGTTTCAAACTGGATAAATCACCATGGCAACTTATGCCAAACAACCTGGTGTGGAGCAGGTTATTTTCAGAGCAGCGCTAATCTTAGCTATTGGCTCATCTCAGCTATTAGCTAATGTCAGCGATGTGCTAATCTGTTGCCATTAATAACTGTTAAAATGAAACCGTGATACAGTAGGGAAGAAAGAAATGAGAGAAACACCCTTCAGCCTTGCCAGGGGTTGATGTTGTGTCCACCAGAGGGCACTCTGCAACTTCCCGCTGGCAACGTGTTGGAAGCCACAAACAATAACCAACTGATCCAAGCAGACTGTAACAGAGTAATCCATTACTTGTGACAATAAAACAAGATTATTTTTGAACTGCAATGCCCTTAGTAACGGCTAATAAACAATCATACATAACAAACATTAGGGAAATCTCAAGAAAAACTAACCAATATATCAGATTGTTTAAGTCATGAAATCCAATAACGTTCGAAGGTTAACAAAGTTGATTAGTACAACAGATCATCTGTGAACGTGTTTTTAGGTTGTTGAACTTGCTTTGTTGTACACCCCTCTGGAAATGTACGGTTGATGTTAAGGAAACCTCGTGGCACAATGCATTACTGAGCAAAGGTTGCACAAACACAGCACCCACTACTGGACACGGTAACTATTTGGAACTGTTGGAGAATTTTACCCATCACCAAACCCTAAGATAGATCTGCTTACAGCTTAAAGGGGAGCTTTAACTAAATTTTATGATTTAAAAAAACAAAAAAAACAAAACCCTAATAGAGTCATAGTGATGCCACCAAGGTCATCTTAGACTTCTTACGCACACCTGGAAACCCCAGGCAACCTCTCGTCACTGGGGGAGGGGGGCATATTTCCAAACTGCTTGGGGAGTGGTTCCCAGCAGTTGAAAGGTAAAACTGATCGCAAAGCGATATAGGGTGCTGCACCAATAACCTCTTTGTTATTGCTTCGGTGAAAGGTCGTGAGTAGTTGGCGCAAAGAAACCTTGGGTGTTATCCAAACAGTCTCCCAACTACTCTCTGAGCAGGAGTGAAACTACGAATTGAGAATGTGATGCAAACCGGAAATAGACACCGTTCAAATTCAAAGTAAAAGTACGCCTTATTACTGAAAACATGTTTTAAAGGACTCAACTTCCACCTTGAGGGTGAGCGGTCTCTATTGCAGGCTTGTTTTGCACTCTTCATAGTTTCACTACTGCTCAGAGAGCCATTGCAAAGTGTTTGCAGACAAGTTGGTGTCTTCCAAGCAAACTATAAGCAACATGCTAGAAACTAAAGCAGTTCTAGTGCACCTTCTTTGCAACTGCCAGCACCACCTACCAACTGGTGGTTGCCATCAGGTTGCCAACCTGTCTCTAGGCCTATATGACTGGGGCCTTTCCTTCAGAGTGACAAGATAACTAAATGTATAAAATGAGAGTAAACACATTAAACGCAGTGCAGTCTACAGTAAACAGTGAGTGAATTCAGTGTTCAGTATTCAGATGCAGTTATTTTTTTAATTTTTAGTACTTTTCTTTAAATCTGTCATTTTAAAGTACGTAAATTTCTGTAAGCACTGCTCAATGTGCTATTTTATGTATATACTCTGGGAAATTGCCCCGTTTAATAATTACTCTGGGAGGCATCCACTAAATGTTTCTGTACTGCTCAGATCAAAACACCACGAGTAAGTAAATACATCCAGTGACAGAGGGAATGACTTCTGTTTTATCAGCTCAAATACACAGATTCAGCTTTATGAGATGTATTCTCCAGTTACTTGGGGATTTTCTTTCCTATTTAAAGAAGATATTCACCAAAAGTCCCTTTATCCTCAGGTGAGACCACAGTTTAAAAAGAGGAGAGGAAGAAGAAACCATATCCAGGCAGATCATCCGAGTCCAAACAGAGTATCATTCATCAGATCATCTTAAGGCTGTGTAAATAGAGTACCATTACCTGTACAAGAATATGTTTTCATTGACATTAGATTATTAAAAAAAACAAAAAAAACTAATCTGCAGTACAAAAACTTGTACTCTTCCTGAACATCATGTGAGAGATTCGAGAACACCTTCGGCCATGCCGTCTCGGTCCTTCTCCCCCCTCAGCGTTGCATTCGTCTGTACGTCAGTGCAGGTCATGCTTGTCATTTCATAACCAACGGCCACATGCGTGTGTGCACGCAGACACACTCCGGCACACTCACAAACACACACACACACACACACTCCTGAATCTACAATATCAACATCCAAGATAGGAGGGGGCTGAAGAAACTAGGATTTGAATGTAGAGTTTTTCCAAAGTGGCTTGTGATAAACCCAACCTTCACCCTGCAGGAGGAGAGACGAGAGTCAGTGTGGCATCACGTATCAGTGATAATGAAGCGTCTGCAGTGAGATAGCATAATTGTTTACCCTGATAAAGTTAGACAAAACACCAGACTGTTAAGTTGAGGCTGCAAAGTATTTGATTTCAACATTTTTGCCAAACAATGGGCATCAAACTAATGTGTGGAAACTCCTCTGAGAAGTTTTTTTTTTTTTTTTTAAATCATGCAATTCAAATATTTTGTGTATATAAGTTGTAAGATCTTCAATGTGGCAGTTATATGATTCAATATGACTTCCTATGCAGTAAATACCAGCTGCTGTATCAGCAGAAACCTAATAAATCACCACTGCTCACCTCTCGGTCAAAGTATCGGGTCCTCCAGGGGGTTTCTGTCTCGACACGGTGCCTCTCTTCTGTCCGCTGCCTCTCCTCGAGGACTGTCTTATGCTCAGTGGCTTTCTCGACGTCTTTCTGCCGTAAAGCCTCGGTCACGTGCTGCCACAGGCGCCTGCAAAGGATCGAAATGTTTCAGCAAACGCTATTAAATACACTGCAAGCTCGCTCCTTCAACTTCAATTTCATCTGACCTGGATTCAGTCGGTCCTTGCTTCTCTACTGGCCGCACGTGCTTCTTCGTCACAGGCAGCCTGGTGACGTCGACCACCCTCATCTCTCCGTTAGTGAAGCTGAACTCCAAGACGCCGTTCCACTCGCCCTGTACGCGGCACACCACTGCATTGGTGGAGTTGTGCTTCACCTCTGCTGTTACCCTAAACGTGTGGTAGGAGGACCGAATTAATACAAACATGCAATTTTGAGGATTTGTTTAGATATGAACGCCCATCTTGGACACTTATTTTAAAGAGCTGCAGAGCTGGCAATCAAAAACTCGTCTTACTGCCAACATCCCCAACTAGTTGCATCAGATGGCCGACCCTCCCAGTCTGGTTCTGCTGGAGGTTTCTAAATGTTAAAAGGGAGTTTTTCCTTCCCACTGTTGCCAAAACGCTTGGTCATGGGGTTATAGGATTATCTGTTTTCTTTGTATTACCGTAGGATCCTTACCTTACAACATAAAGCTCCTTGAGGGAACTGTTGTTGTGATTTGGTGCTATATAAATAAAACTGAATTAAATTGAATACTGTCATAGTATTGCTAGTAGTTCACCTGGTCACATAGTCAAGTTCGGTTCATTTAGAGAGCACATTTCATTGAATGAATGAAAGCATCGTCTCAATGACCAAATAAGGTCACCTCTGTTTTTTTTTCTGCTTTTCAGTTTGAAGTTAAACTTTTTTGTTTTCCAAGAAACGAAGCAGTAACTCCTTGGAAGTTGTTGCACTTTGGTGGTAAATAAAATTGAGCATCATCAGCATAACAACATAACTTTCTGAAAATGGATCCCAATGGGCAAAAAGGAACACAAGCTCATAATCTGATACGATTCAAACCACATATATTGATATAATGACAATCATTGCAACCACATTAAATACATTTCTTTTACTTCTTGTTGTGGATATAAAAACTAAGACTTACTTGTGTAATTTGCCTCCATAAAAGGGTTTAGTCTGGAAAGTAATGACTGCCGAGTAACCCGACTTGGCGCAGTTGATGGTGACTTTGCCGCCAAGTTCCACCCAGGGAACGGTGAGGATGGAGCGAGCATAGGCGCAGGGCAGCGTGAAGGTGTACTCCTCATCGTGCTCCAGCAAATACAGACAACCTGGAAGAATAAATACAGAAACAAGAGTTACAAGGTTTCTGCCAGTTGTAACAAAGAGATATGAGGGGTGTACTATGTAATGTATTACGCAGCAACAATAAATAAGAATACAGTCGAATCTTTCTTTTGTCTTTTTCCACCCTGTGGTATTAATAATGATAGAAATATCCAGGAAAATACTCAACCAAGTCTGAAATGTTAGTATTGCAACAGCCCTACCGCAGAAATGGTCAAAAGGAGCCTGCAGCCCAACAAGGATGACGGCAGGTTTAGGTCAAATGGTGATGGAAATGGTTTTAACTTTGTTCTTTTCAGCAGCTGGTTGACTGATAAACAACATCAAGAGCAGCTGGATCCCACAGGTCGGCTGTACCACCTAATTTTGATGCTGCCACCTGGTGACGGTAAACAGCAACGGCATGTAGACGACAGTCTGCAAAGCTGTGCACAGACTCTGCACAATACCGACGCACAACCGCGACACTTCCCTTATTTGTCTGTACTGGGTGACAGAGGAAATGACAGAGATGCTTCTGTGGTTGAGGCCCTACACAGTAAAGTACAAACATGTCCTGTCCTACATTTTTATTAACAAGGACAAGAGAGAAATACTTTTATTAAGAAATGCATTAATAGTCAAATGAGAATATACACCAAATATGACACCTGATAGACCAGAATTTAGTCCTAAATTAATTACACTTCTGCTTTTGGTAATAAGAGGGCTTTAAGATAAAACTAAAACCAAACTGAGGAGTAAGGGAGTTGGGGGCACCTCACTTCTATTGTCAGTTACAGCTGTGTATGGAAAGGCTTTTTTGGCACTGCGGCCTCGAGCTCTGGTGCATCAGAAGGAGGTGAGATAGCGACTTGCCAGCTCCACAGCACACATCATGATATTGTGCACGTGAGAAGAGAGCAGGTAACTTGCCAGAACTCAGCATGCTCCACCTGAGCCAAACAGATTACTTCCAGCAGTGAAAACACATCTGAGGCGGGCCATCTCTTGCTTTCTGCTACACGTGAGAAGTGAGAACTTTAGATAAGAAGCCAACCTGATTCTGCTGACGCCGTCTCGAGTTCATGTGTGAAAACATCTAATGTTTCCAATGCAGCGCGCCCCTGAACTTTTTTAGACATCCAATCGAGGTGCAGGTGAGAATTAAAATGGGGAGAAGTCAGATCAGACAATAAATGCTCTACACTCTCTCTTTATTCAGCAAAGCCTGTGTGAATGAGAGTGTAGAGGAGCTACACCTGGTGAGCGGGCCTCCTACATGTGCTCTATGTGTAAAAACAGCTCGTGTTTCCACTCCTGCTGCCAACCTCGCAGAACACAGTTTTTTAAAAATTGTGCTGCCTTACCTTCCCCCACCATCGATACCCCAATGGACATGCCCATGAACTTGCTCTTGGTCCACACATGTGTGTTCACACACATCCGCCTCTCCTGGCATTCGGCGTAGAAACCAGACACAGGGGGATGATGGGAAACCTGCTCCGCCACAAAGCGCACTTGGTAGGAGTCCTGGCTGGAAGCAGTGGGGTCGGGGCTTCCCTGTGAAGGCTCCTTGGAGGCGTCTGGTCTCTTGGGCACCTTCCAGGAGCAGTGGAAGGTCTCGCCAATGATGGGGTTGTAGGGTTTTTTGGCAATGGCGCCTTTGCGGCCCTCGTGGAAAGAGGTGAGGTAGTACTCCACAAACCGGACCATGCGGTCCTCCGGACTGCTGCCATCTGTGATGGTCACAAAGAGATCCGGATGGGACATGAAGTCTGCGTACATCTCCAGCAGAGAGCGCTTCTCGAGAATGAAGGTGGGGAGGACCACCTACAAGTAAAATGGACGAGAGAAGAGATTTTAAATCACATCTTCTGGAACATACTGCATTAACAAACTGAGTCTGAGGATGCTTCTAAATTAGCTCAGGTTAGGCAGAAAAATATAGTGCAATGAGGAAGTGAAAAGACGTAGACAGGACGTGACCCTGCGGATCATGGGGTGTTTACTAGAGTTCCAGCTGAGGTAAGCCAGCGGACCCATGAGATAAATCAGAAACTCAAGAGCAGGATATCGAACTACGGGAACAAACTGACACTGAAAGATAAGAGTGTCAGCGTAAGCCTCGGGTCAGGGTGTTTAAGCACATGTCCTTGACAACTAATTACCAAGAATGAGGAGCTTACTTCAACCATGACTCCTTATCCTGCCTCAAAATGTGGTTTTTAAACAGCTTCAATTACTTTCATGGGCGGCTTTAATTCGAATACAGCACTGTGCTACTAGATATCAGCCTCATCACAGGCTGATATTTAATAAGCATTTAACTGTGACAAATATCTGTTGCTGTCTGCATAGACAGAAATTCACATTTAACAATTACATTTTCATTGATCAGCCTTCCTGTTCTACAGGCCAGCTGAGTCGAGTCCCTTCGAGTTGTGCTCAAAGACAAAGACTCATTCAGACTGATGGCGAAATGTTGGCAATCTGTCTGCATTTATAAAATCAGACAGCAGTTATTTAAAGACCTTTGAAATCTCTCAGAGGGATTGCAGTCGGTCCAAGTCACACTGCAAAGGTGCAGGCGACCTGCGCAATCACTTTGTGATCAAACGTGGTCATGACTGTGCAACACCCTCAAGCTCTGGGCAACTGATTATCACCACAAGCTACAGTCAATTGCACAATGTGAAAAATTCAACTTAATCACCAGGCAGCCGCTGATTATTATTTTCTCTCTTTGGTGGATGTAAGGAGTTTGTCCTTTTCAGCCATTAGCTTGATCTGAATTGTCAAGCTAAGTGCGCCCAATGTTGGATAATGTGTTAGTTTGCTTAGCTAACATTATGTCTGGATGATGGTGCATGAGATGATCCCTTTTGTTCCTAGTATTCCAAGAGTATTTTAATTTATTTAACAAGATAAATATTTGTTGTCCCTGTATCGATACAATATCACAAAAATCACAAAAATATTGCGAAAAGATCTCAAAAAGCAACACATCAGGCCACGATCTAAAGAAACAGCTGAGAAACAAAGTCAGTCAAAGTCAGTTCTCATCCCAGGAAGGAATATTGTTCATCTGGATGTTGCTTTTTCACTGGGACAAATGTTTTGTCACTAGATCTGCAAAATGACCAAACTATAGGGATATAACTTTTTCCACATAGGACCAGGTAGGTCTGTGTTACTTTTTTGTTCCTTAATAAATGATTTAAAGAATTTAAAAGCTACATTTTGTATTTACTCAGATTATCTTTGTCTAATATTAAAATTTGTCTGATTTAAAACATGCAAGTCTGTCAAATATGCAAAAAAAGAAAAATCAGGAAGGTGGTAGATACTTTTTCACAACAGATGCAGGCAATAACCAACATGTCAGTGTTAAGCCATAGTTCTTTCTATTTTCTGTTAAACAGCTAAGTTACAAAGCACCAGTACACCAGGCCGGGTTGGTATCAGCGTCTTTGACCGTTACTGGACCATAAGGACTGATCAGGACACAATGACTGCAGTAAATGATGTTGATCTTTTTGTGTTACATTAGAAAAGTTTGCAGGGTTTGTTTTTTTTATAATGATGCATGAAAAGCACAGGAGGATTTATTTGAAGAAAAAAAAAAAAAAAAAACAACCTAAGAAGTGAAAGGCAGTGTTTCTGTGCAACAGTTGCTGAGTCAAGGCTGAAATACGTGTGGAACAATCTTACCACATACTTTTAACTGTGTATCAGTACACTGTTAAAAAATGGTTTATTTAGCTGCAGAAGAACATGGTGTGAACTCCTCATTTTGGTTTATTCTTTACCAGAATTCTGTGAAATTGCATTCAAAACCAATCAGAAGGGAATCTTGGCAGCATTTCACGCCTCACTGTGACGCAATGTGCTTTGAACTCTGTGTTTATTGATACAAGAAACTCCTCTCGCTCCGGGAAAATCCTCCTCTGTTACAGCCAAGCGAGCCTTATCAAAGACCCGTTCGTGCTGGCGTCTCAGAGGGATTGTTTTTGCTGATATGGGAACTTGACCTACCCGCGTGAGGTCCATCCCCAGCTTCAGCTGCGACAGCAGGTGTAGAATGACGCTCCGTTCCTCCTCCACGGCACCCAGGTCCTCCTCCTTGTCCGTAAAGGAGTCCTCCAATTCATCCTCTGCATCTATGTCTTCCTGTTCCTGTGAGGAGAGAGGAGGGAAGAAATTAAAGTTTTTTTGTATGACTGATTTTAAAACGAGGCAGTCTCACAGAGCATTAACAGAAAACTGCAACAAGCATGACACAGATAACCTCTCCCCTCTCCCGGTCTTACCCCGGAGAAGTTGCAGGACTCGGGGCTGCTGAGCTCCAAGCGGTTCCCCTCCAGCGGGCCCTCACCTGTCGCGAAGCTGCCCAGAGAGCTGCTGCCATTCTTCAGGATGTCGGGCAGTTTGGGCTCCAGCCACTCAATGGTGGGTCCTGCAGTGGACGGGGAGTGCACAGGTGCAGGTTCAGAGGTACTCATGGTCCTACCCCTCCCTCCCACCCAACCGAGGCCCCCCTACATGCACAGGTAGCGCTAAGCTCGGCCCACCATTTACCGCACGGCGCCCCGCAATCGCCTTGCAGCTGACCAGGCAGAGCTTCTGGTCCTCAGAGAGCTGCCGTCGACCAAAAGAGTGTAACCCAACTCCTCCGTGGAGACAGGTATCAGGATACTCTGGAAGCATCCCCCACCACGATTGGCTAAACCCTCTCAGTATGGCATCCCCCCCCCCTCCGCCCCCTTTAAAAGTACGTATAGCAGAGGACAGATCTAATTCAAATTCACCTTGTGCGTCAGAAGACTTAATCTGATTGGCTGCTGTGGCGAGTCCGCCCTGATGAAATATACATCGAGTAACGAGATCCGCTGTGGAAAAAGTGGGACGAGTTTTCCGGCATTTTAACAAAAGATCAGCGAGTCTCCTCTCCTTCACCTTACTGTATGATTTTTAATGTGAAGCTTAAAAACAGAGCTGTCCTCGAGGTGCTGCGGATGGATATTTAACCATCTGAGATCCAATTACCAGCGAGACAGGTGGTACGAAAGGGGACAGGTGACCCCATCAATAATGCAGAATAATTCCAGTGTCCGGCCAAGCTAACCGCCTAGATTGGGTGCAGACACTGCATGAGCAAGACTATGATTTGTTCTTAGGATTGCGTGCCCAGTAGAGACATAAATATTTAACACCCACTTCCCAAACATCATGTATTTACTGAACTTAAAATTTAACTTGAGTTTATATAGAATTTATTTAACCCTTTATTGATCCCGCCAGCAGGCCCATGGTCAATTTTACTGGTAAATATAAAGGGTTGGTCAATAAAGGGATAAGATGAAGGTGGTGCAGAGGGACAGTGTTTGGGACGACTCAGTACCACAGTAGCAGGTGATTTTGACCATAAAGCACAAAATTACGTCAAAACTACAATTGACAGGTGGCACAACCTCCCCCCCCCAGTACTACAATTACTGGGTCTTTTTTTGACTAACATTCTACTCAGCTCAATAACATCTCAGTGGTTAAACTTTATGTCATGGAAGTAACCCTGAAAAACGAGTCACTAAAGTGGCATCCAGAAAAATATTAGAGCCATTTTATTCGTCACAGAAGGCTGGGTTTTTTGTAAAGCATCTACTTGACTTGATTTTAGGGTTTTACATTAAGTGGCAGGACCACATATTAGCATCTACTCGGCTGGGGTTCCAAGCACGCTGAGACAAGCCAAAAATGAATGAAAACCGTCATTTTTGAAACCCGGGAACGAGGGAAATGGCTGCACACAAACCAACACCGATGAGATGCAGGCATTCACCATCGGTGTAGTGCCATCACGGTGATGGCACTGCCTATTAGCAGTTTATTAACCTCTTGCTTTTGTCCCTTTTCCTTCTCCTCAACCAGTCACAGCAGATGACTGACCCTCCCTGAGCCTGGTTTTGCCAGAGGTTCCTTCAAGTTGAACAGGTGTGTTTCCTTCCCATTGTCACCAAGGGCTTGCTTATAGGGGGTCATATGATTGTTGGGGGTTTGTGTACTATTGTAGAGTCTTTACACTACAAAATAAAGCCCCTTGAGACAAAGTTGGAATTTAGTGCTATATGAGTTAAACTAAATAAAGTTGCGTGTCCATGCTGCCTGAACACAATACATCAATAGAAACCATGTCAAATGTGCAAACTGAGAAAGAAAATGTTTCTATGTTCTATGAATAAAATGCAGGTTTATGAGGTTTGCAGATCATTTTACAAGCCGTCCCACCTTTGTAAGTATTCTGTTTGTAGAAACTCGTGCTGGCCAAAAGCTCTCTGACTGCCAGCCTGGGTCCAGATGAACTAAACTCAGTTTGAGCTTTTAGTGTACCATCATTAATTAGCACACCCTTAACGTAATCCAGGTACTTTAACATATACAGTTCAACTTACGTGTTGTTACCTTTTGTGACAAACACAAAAGGTAACAACAACAACCCACCACATCCCTCCACGTACCTCCTAAGGAGCTTCTCTGTCGGGCCACCTGCTGCAGGTGGAGGATGTGCAGGCACTCATTGAGGCAGTTCATGGTGGCCATGGAAGTGGCCTTGAGCATCAGCAGGTCCTGGTCCAGGGGGGAAAGGCCAGGAGTCGCAGGCAGGCCCTCAATGCCCTGGATCAGGTCTTTGTGCTGACCCTGGGCTTGGCTCATCATCTGGAAATACAAGGATGTCGTGGTTATTAAGGGCAAAGCCTCACAGGACCGTGATTAACTATCTGTGCAGGCAGCTCTGCTAATTTTGACTCAGTGCCTTTGTTTAACTATCACGTTCTGATTAATTCAAGGGAAAAACATATTTACACCTTGCTGATTAGAACAAAAACCTGCTGTATCCCACTCAAGTTAAATAAACATGAGTGCCCCCTTGTGGACAATCTGCAGCATTAAACTGGCTCAGAGAGAGACTACTAAAGCTCATGACAAAACAAATCTCAGTGAGCTAAAGTCCTGCTCTAAAGCGCCTCTTAAATATTTCACATTCACTGCTGCGTGCCTTGTAGGAACTAAATGTTTCTTGTACTTTTTGCTTGTACTTGGCCTCGAGTTTAAACTTTAATGAAACATTGTAGTGAGTGCCAGCACTGCTTTCTGTCTTTTTAATCATCATAAAATGTAGCACGCAACTAGCGTCCCTTGGGATTTAGCCCCCACTGTTTGTGTCTTGGCTAAAAGTTCCCCCCAATCAGTGAGTTATGACTTCTTCAGATCAAAGTGTACCTCTCTTGCGTCCATCAGGTGGTCGGGCAGCAGGGACCGCTTACTGGAGTAGGCCGACGAGCCTCTGACCTGCGACCAGCCAAACAAAGAGGCGGGGTTTTGGCTGTGCCGGCGCATGGACATCGGGGAGCTGCCGCTGCCCTGAGACGCCGTGGAGTAACTCCGGGACTTTGACGGAGGCTGACTCTGAGGAACGGAGACCAGCACAGTCATTACATTTATGGGTCAGCGCAGTGTTTCTAGCTATAAATGAGACGGGGTGTATTGCACTACCATATTGTTTTTTCAAAATAAAAGTTTTCAAAAACATTTTATAAGCAGTGTAAACTACTGATATTTATCAGGCTTTTTCATGGCCCCTGAACTCCATACTGTTTCCTCAATTTGTAAGCGTACGTAAACAAACAAAAAGTTGTTTTTTTTAAATGCCGGACTAACAGCACAAAACATGCTGAAAATATATTATTTTATAAAACACTTTTTATTTTATTTTAGTAAAAGGGAAAAAATCCTGTTATGCTTTTGGGTTTTTTTTTTTTCTTTTCTTTTTTTGAATCTCCAAAACTGGCCCGAACCTTTGATTCAGTTTTATTTATATAGTCAAATCAACAATTGCCTAAAGGTGCGTCATACTGTAAGGTAAAGACACAAAGAAATAATACAAAGAAAAAAGAAAACAGACAATCATATGACCCCTATGACCAACTTAAAAACTTAAAAGTCCAAACTTCTAATTTGTCAAAGCTGTCATTGGGCCTGGATCACCGTCTTTACCAGGCCAGTTCCGGCTCCCAGGCTCTGTGGTTTATAGCACTTAAAAACATTTTTCTTATATTTTTGCACATCTTTGCTCATTTTTCCTAAACTTGGCCATCTCCAGACCATTAAAATGGGCCACGGGCTGCACAGCAATCTGGAGATCAATATCCAGATCAATACTGCTGCTTGCTGCACTTACAAACAGGCTGGAAGCTGATATTTCTTTACATAAACACCGATACTGTTCTAACTCTGTTGGATTGCCTCCTTTGGCACATGTGAAAGGAAAACAGGAAACTGTCACATCCGCTCATGAGTCATAGATTTAGCTGAGAAAGTTTTTACAACACCCTAACAGTTTTAATACAAAAGTACTGTCCGGCTGTTTCACTGCTGCACATTTATTGACAGATCAGCAGCCATTTAAGGGCCTTTAGAGCCTAAAGGTGTGCAGCAGCATGGGTTTTCTGCTCCAAAAACCAAAAAAGACTAATGAAAGAGCATTGTGTCACTGCTCATCAGCACAGAAAAAAAAAATGCTGATTTTGACTTTCACAATGATGTCAAAGATGGACTTTGAAGTAAAACATAGCTGTTCATGGTTTACAAGCCTTTAAAGACAGACAGGACTGAATGAGCTGCTGTCTCTGGAGTGCACATTTCACATCGGATGAGTTTTCCAGGTTTTTACTATAAACTTTTTTTTTTTTTAATCTGCAAATATGCTAATATGCAAATCTAGATAAAGATCCTGGACATGAAGGTAAAGTACAAAGCTTCATGCATCAAGGCAGCCATACGCCTTTAGCTTTTATTTTGTAAGCACACCGAGTTTTGAGCTTATGAAAATGTGTTTTCTGCACAGTCATCACTGCTCGCAGACACAAATATCTGCACAAACTGCTCACACAGCTGCAGACGCATTATCTGATAAGAGCTTACGAAGCAAACTTTAGCACGATTTCATGCCAGTCAGACTTCCTTCTCTTTCCTTGTTGCTTTAGTGGTGCTTCTGTGGGCTTACAACATTGTCACTTCTCTCTCTGCTTTCACGCGTTTCCTTACAGAAAAAAGGTGGTGTGCCTGTCTACAAACTGCATGCAGCGATCACGACCCTTCTAATTTAGAATCGGTTAGATTTAGTAAGAAACACACAGATCGGCCATTACCTGAGCCATAAATCTGATGGCGATTTTGACTCATCCTTTCAAGGATAAGAATATTTCCACAGACATAATGAGTGCAATGAACTCATTGTTATGTTCAAGAAATCAGTTTGAGATGAGGTCAGCTTTGTGACATCGTGTGTTAATCTTCTCAAAGCAGCCATGAGTTGATGAGTACACTGTGGTTATAATTTTTGCTGCAACCAAATGTTGCAGCAAAAATTGAGACTCATCAGATCAGGCAATGTTTTTCCAGTCTTCTATTGTTCAATTCTGGCAAACATGCGTGAACCACAACCTCAGTTGCCAACAGGACAAGAACCAGATGTGGTCTTCTGCTGCTGGTGAGATGCTCTTCTGCATACCTTGCTTGTAACAAGTGATTGTTTTGAGTTACTATTGTATTCCTATGAGCCTGAAGCAGTCGGGATATTTTCTCTCTCTGATCATTCTCTGTAAACCCAGGAATTGGCTGTATGGGAAAATCCCAGCAGATCAGTAGACCAACAAACCAAGCAACATTCAAAATCACTTAAATCACCTTCTTGCTGATGCTCAGTTTGAACCTCAGCAGGCCATCCTGACCATACTCTATGTGTCTAAATGCATTGAGCAGCTGTCATGTGATTGGCTAATAGGATACCTCTATTAACAAGCAGTCATCTGATATATGGGGTTTTCTCTGTATTATTGTGGAGTCTTTACGTCTGTGAAGGTTCTCAGTCTTCCAGGTCATCGTAGTCTAAGGAGCTTGGAAAGAAAAGCGTGGAGTCTTCACCTTACAATATAAAGTGCCTTGAGGTGACTGTTGTGGTTATTTGGTGCTACACAAACAAAATTGAATTGAACTGAACTACTGTGTCATTATATCCAACAAAAGTGTAACAGGCAGCCTGCCTCAACTGATTTTTTTGACTTTTTTGTTTTTATCTTAATTATGCTTCTTCTTTTAAAGATAAATTTTTAAAACTATATATTCTTGACAGAAGAATGATCCAGTGTAAACCAACCATGGTACAAATTATGGTCATGTGCCTCTTTTCAGGTATAAACACACTCGGCACTGTCAGTCTTACCTTCCCCATGGCCTCTGTGTGGTGCTGCGTGCAGATCTGTAGCCTGCTGACCCAGTGCTGCCTCTCTTTGGCATCAGAGGCTGACACACACACACACACACACACACACACACACAGGAGAAGAAGAACACAACCTTGTTACAGTAACTCTACAGTAATCATACTCAGCATTGATTCCTGTGTGCTTCTGCATCACCGGCAGCAGATAATGGAAAAACATCCAGATCAATACAGCAGGAACAAGATGGAAGTTAATGAGAGCAAGGCTGAGCTTTAAAACAAAGAAAAGAAAAAGTAGAATGGAGGCATCAATAAAAGGTGGAGAGCTCAGGAAGGAGCACAGAAGCACCAGCTAAAGCCAAATTAACTTAGAGCACTCATGGCTGCCAGATCCTCACCCCTGAGCTTGTACTGCTCCCCACTGATGGCATTGACAGTGAAGGTATGCGAGTCCTCATCACTCGGGGAAATGACGGCCCCCGCCAAAGGGAGCATGCCACGGGGCTTCTGTGGCCGTGACTGCTCATTGACAAAATACTCAAGCAGGCCCGCCTCGTTGTTCAAGACAAAGAACCTGAAATCAAACAACACTGGCTTAGTCTGCTGTCCATGATATGACTTTTTATCACAGTCACACCTTACATTTTTGTTTGGTAAGTTAGAAACACACATAAACACACACACAAAGGTACTTTGTCCCTATAAAACTGTAAGGTCTTTAATGCTCATTGAGATGACTTATGTCACATGAAGTTGGGTCAGAACTCACCTGTACTGCCAGCCTGTCACCAGGTTGGTATATTTCATCAGGTAGCCATCAATATTCTCCATGTGATCGCTGGTATTATGGGGCAAAAGGAGACACTCATAAAATGATACAGGCAGTGAGCACACGCCCATAAACACAGCAAGGTAAATACACAATTCAATCACAGAGCATTCCTCTGACTCAGCTTGTATACCTGAGAACCAAATACACACTTAAACACTACTGAAAAAGAGTAGGTTGTTGTGCTGTCCGGGTCAACGAAGTGCTCCTGACAACACTAAATTAGCTGCTAGCGGAACAAACTAACCTGTACTGCCAGCTTTTGGCACTCGCTCTCCCCGAGCTCGGGGTCCTGTTCTGGGGATATACATCCAGCTTGCCTTCGTTTTCCGTGATTCGGATCGTCGTGGTTTCTCCTTGCATAGTCACTAGCAACGACACCTCCTCTGGACGCAGCTTGCTAGCGCTAAGCTAACCTGTAAAGCCAGCCAAGTCTACAGAGCTGATTTTTTTTAAAGGACGGAGTCTCTCTTACTGGGAGGTCATCGCTTAACGAAAAGCACCACCGAACAGGCTACACACGCTGGACTGACAACTGGCAGATGACAGCTGAAAAAACATGGTCTGGTCTACTGGAACTGGGAGTAGCTAACAGACTGCTAGCTAGCCTGATATTTACTGGCTTCGGTTGGGGACACGGTCATGTGACTCACCTTACAGGAGCGTTTCCGCATTGAGATATATAAGATATATAAAAATATAATCATTTATGATAAACAAAAAATCCATCCAACCAAAAAAGAAAACAAACAATAACAACAAAAAAACGTAAAAGAGGCGTAAATGGTTAAAAAAATTGAGGGGATTAAAAAGCCGCAATCTAAAACGGAAATAAATGTTTTACATAATAATTTTATAAAATATTATCAGATTTTGTGTATTAAGTAACAAGAAAGAAAAACAAATAAATTAGTTTTTTGTTATTTTTATACTGACTGGCAAGTATTATCTGAAAGAAGGAATTATAACCTTAAAAACATTTATAATATATTTTTGCATTGTTGTAGGTGAAAAATAAAGTGAATAAATAATTACACAAATAGGCCACATATTATCCATATTTGTTCCCACTAATTTATTATTTGATATTTTTTGTATACGCTGAACATGTGCAGACAAGTACAACTTTAAAGATATTAAACAGATGCGTTTTGTGTGTATAAATATTTTGACAAATATGTAAAAATGTTTGATAGCCAGGAGTGTTCAATGATGGGCTGAATCATATTTATTTAAAAAGAAACGCGTTATTAATCTGCTTTGTTTTTAATGTTTTTCATACCTCGTTTTTAAATATAATGTATAAGCTAATTTACGTGTTAAATTAATTAGGGGTGTAGTGGTTTTGTTTTTTAAGCGGCATCCTTTGTTAGCAAGAGCTTTATTTTGAAAAGCCCAATGACCGGAAGCGCCTTTAAAATACGCTTTTGTTATCATGAGGTAGTAATGTGACTGGCGGTATCCCATATTTCCCGATAATATTAAATAATAACTGGCCTTTAAAACGTTCGCTTTAATATAGCGGACTTGTTGATGTTGCATGCAGTCACCTTTAAACTCGAACCTGAATATGGGCTATGAAGCTTTCAAAAACAGTGGAGATGCGTGGAGAAGGCTTTGCTGCTTATGAACTGCACATAATAAGAGGTGTAGCCGTGACAGTAAGGGCGGGGTAAGAGAGTAGCAGCGTTTTCAGGGCGTATAAGGAAGTTATAGACTGGGGAGTAAAGGACAACAGGCTGTATTTGCAAAGCGCTCACTGTCGGAGTTTCTACTTTTAAAAATGCCCGGAAAGAAAGTTTGCATCGTTGGATCTGGAAACTGGTAACGTTTGTCTGTATCTTTTTGCCTCTTTTAGAAGTAGGAGTTCCCTTTTTTCAGCCAACTGAAAACTGATCGCTGATTTGGTCGTTTACTGGTTGCAAACCCGCTGTATTCATAATCTAATAGGCTTATCTTTACCTCTGTCTTGCACATCAGAAAGGAAGATCTGGAGCTGTTATTTACAGCCTTCCTCGATTGCTTCTAAAGAGCTGTTCGTGTAGTAGCATCCTGCTTTCTAAAATAAGGGTCTTGCAAAATAAAATCCATACACTCCTGTAGAGTACCTGTACGGAGTACCTGTGAGTACCTTTTGTGGTTCTAACTCTTGGGACTACAAAGAGTTCTCCCTTAAGGGCATGTTCCTGGAAGAAGTCCAATTCCAAGCCTAAGCATGCTTTTTTAGCCTTTTCAGGAACATGCCGTACTTTGTGTACTCACTTAATTCCCAGAGCTTCAACCTGTGGTTTTGGGTTAGGCTCAGTCCTGGCTCTCTAACCTGATCTTTGTCCCTCCCTCAGGGGTTCTGCCATTGCCAAAATTATCGGGCACAATGTCAAAGCTTCCAACCGCTTTGACCCAATGGTGAACATGTGGGTCTATGAAGAAATGATTGACGGGAAGAAACTGACAGAGATCATCAACACCGAGCATGAAAATGTCAAGTATCTACCAGGCCACAAGCTGCCCAAAAATGTGGTAAGTGCAACAGTTACAGAAGCATCATCTGTAGATTATGCAGTCCGGTTTGCTAATTACCGCAATCTTGAAGCACACGACATTGCACCGAAAAGATTATTTAACTTTTTTAAAAGGAACAATGCAGTTTGACATGGTTCCAATACCATTGCTAATTTCCTGCCCTTGTCCCTTGTTGGTCTTTTACATTCACAATGCTCAAACAGCATAAAACTGCAATGCACTGTAATACACAGAGATACAATACACATACTGAAAAAATATAGCGTAAGAAAGATACATTAATAAATTAATACAATTAACCAACCTTTGACCTTTACTCTAAAAGATTTGATATCTGTAATCAAATTGATTTCAATTAGGAGTGTGTTTCATAGCTGCTGACCGTCCATATTTAGATCTGTGGTGTGGTATTTTACAGTTACGATTCACAATCCTCCTCTTACTGTTTTGTTATTGAATGCAACTAGAAAGACATCCTGGGGCCAGACTATTTATACACTCGAAAACTAATTTAAGAAAATACAAATGAGTGCATTATATTTCATTAAAATGTGAGAATAATGCCACCAAACTGGCTTTTGAGACATTATTTGCAGTCTTTGGTTGTATAAAGTTACCACATGCTTAATTATAGAACTTGAGTTCATTAAACTTGAGTTCAAACTGTCATAGAATATGAAAAATTAGAAAATATCATAGAATCTATAAATAACTAAGCTGCTGCAGTGGGTATGCAGTGTCATCTTTAAATAGTTCAGATTACGGTGCGCTCCTTAATAAATTGGAGATCAGAAATGTATTCTATGGAACACCCACTTTACTCGAACTTCCCACTCGGGAAGTCAGAGCAGACCAACATACCCAAAGTTACTAATCCAAGATGTTGGCACTGAACCTAAACTGTAGTAAAACTGTAAACTTTTAATCTGTGCTGTCACTGTTGTGTGTTTTTTGACTCACTCAGAGCACTTCTCAGGCTCTGTTTATGACTGTGTGTTTTAAGTGCAAAAACATAAGAATTATGCTGAATTGCTAGTGATGTCTGAATAGCTCTACCTTGATAAGAATTTTTTTCAAACCTGTTCTTCCTGTTTTTTTGGTTTTTCTGGAACGTGCTAACTCAGGAGAGACATAATTCCAACATCAAGTTCCAAGTGGAACGCTGCATTAGTCATAATTATCTTTGCATTATTCCTTACATGCTTATTAAATATTTACCAACGTTAATGAAAAACGATATACCGCAGATACATACTGCCGTAAATTAGCATTAAACTAGTATATATATCAGTGTACAGTGATATGTACGGTTGTGGTCAGAAGTTTACATCCACTCGTCATGGGCATGAATATCATGGTCATTTGGGGCTTTTAATGATTTCTCTGACCTGCCGTTTTTCCAGAGTGGATTGAGTGTACAGCATACATCTTTAATCACTTAAAAAAAAGAATTGGGTGAAAAGTTTGACTTTATTTGGATTTTATACAGGGTCTGTTAGTCATGATTGATCATTGGTGATCATGACTGGGCCTTGGCTTTGTTAAGAATTTGTACAACCCTCAGCAACACATATTAAAAGATTTAAGTGAATACATGTATATATTTAAGTCTGTATGTATACTTTTGATCCTGTGTGGGTTAGAGGAAATCTAAAATGAAGTGTCTTGCATACTGGCACTGTATGATTTGGTTCTGTATGAGGACTAACATGCTGTTGTCGGCTCACTAGGTGGCTGTTCCAGACATCACAGAAGCTGTTAAAGGAGCAAAGATCCTCGTCTTTGTAATCCCGCACCAGTTCATCGGGAAACTCTGTGATCAGATGAAACCTCACATCGCAGAGGGAGCTATCGGGATATCACTCATCAAAGTAAGACCCTGTGACTGTTCATTTCACATTTTCTGCCAGCATAAAAGGGGAAACAGTATCCTAACCACAGCTTCTTATTTTTCTGCGGTCATGGCATCATGAGTTTTTTGTATATAATACAATATAATACAGAGACAATCACATCCTGTATGTGTCACCATCATCTCAAGGCCAAAAGCCCATTCAGGGTAGAGGTTATGTTTTAAATTGTTGATTATTGTCATCCAGGGCATTGATGAGGGACCGGAAGGACTGACGCTAATCTCAGACATCATCCGAGAGAAACTACAGATTGACGTCAGCGTCCTGATGGGAGCCAACATCGCCAGCGAGGTGGCGGATGAGAAGTTCTGTGAAACCACCATCGGTTAGATACTTTGTACAACACATAAGTTGCAGAGGAGGTTTTGTGGTGGTCAGACAAGCTAGTGCACAGTTACTTCCTGTTTTAAGTGTTGCTGGAGCAATTTAGCACTCTATGTTTAATAAACTTCATTCACTACAGGAGCAAGAAATGAGGCAAACGGCCACATCTTCAAAGAACTGATGCAGACTCCCAACTTTCGCATCGCTGTCGTGCGGGAGAGTGACACAGTGGAGCTCTGTGGAGCCTTAAAGGTAAACGGATGTTTCCATAGTCAAATTCTCCTTGTATAATGGAAAACCTTAAAATGTTTGCACCCTTCCCCTCATGCATTGCTAGAATATTGTGGCGGTTGGCGCTGGATTCTGTGATGGCCTCGACTGTGGCGACAACACCAAAGCGGCGGTAATCAGGCTTGGCCTGATGGAAATGGTTGCCTTTGCCAAAATTTTCTGCAAAGGCTCAGTGAGCTCTACAACCTTCCTGGAAAGCTGCGGCGTGGCCGACCTTATCACCACTTGCTACGGAGGACGAAACCGGAAGGTCGCAGAGGCCTTCGTCAGAACGTCCAAGGTGAGTCAGAGAGGACAGTCCATCGCAATTATTGTTTTTCAAATAAGAGGAATGTAAGTTACAAAAATCCAAATCCAAAGGGTAACTAAATGTTAATTATTACAATGTAAATCAAATATCTACTATTAGTATTAAGAGGAAAAAATCAAAGTTATTGAAGTGCACTACTGTGCAGTTTCAAAGGTCTTTTTTTATATAAACATTTAGCTTTAACTGTTCAGGAATTACAGCTTTTTTCTTTTTACACATAGTGCCGCATTTTCTGAGACTCAAAAGTAATTAAACATTTGACTGTTGAGCAGTTTCAGAGACATGTGAGTGTTGTTCACATTTGCATTTCACTCAAACTCTCGATATAATGTTAAAACAGATACTAATGTAAATGAGGGAGGTCATCACTAACCTGGGAAAAAAAATCAGAGAGACAGCAAAAACTGTCGTAGTGTCCAAATCAACAATCTGGTTCAGCAACACCAAAAACCCTCAAAGCTCACAGAAGATAACTGAAGTGAATGATGACAGAATTATTTCCATCGTTGAGAAAAACATCTTAATGGCATCTAACTAAGTCAAGAACACTATAGAGGAGGTACTTATATCATTGTCAAAGTTTACAAGCAAAACGTGCCTTTATGAATCGAGATACAGAGAATTTACAGGTGGTTTGCACAAAGAACACTAAACCCAGATTAGACTTTGCCAGAAAACATCTTGAATAGCCTGCGCAGTTCTGGAAACTATGATGAACTTGTAGTAGAACAATAAAAAGAGAAAGGTGTGTATGATTAGAGAAGCAGCTCATGATCTGAAGAATACTACATCATCTATCAAACATTGTGGTGCTCATGGTGTGGTAAGGGCATGAACTGGTTCACTGGTGTTTATTGATAATGTGCCTACTGATAGAAGCGGCAGGATTAATTGTGAAGTGTACGAGGCTCTACTCCCTGCGAGGATACAACCAAATGCTGCAAAACTGTTCAACCCCAAGTTAAAACCCAAGAGTCTCACAGGCAAATAAAGAGATCTTCAATAACCAAGTCAGTCACCTAATCTCGACTGAACCAAGCAGCCTTTCAGTTATTAAATACAAAACTGAGGGCAGAGAGACCCACAAACAACAGCAGCTGAAGGTGGGTGAAGTAAAGTTCTGGCAGAGCGTCTCGAGAGGAATTTCCAAGTATTAAAAACAATCCTTGTTGGTCCATGTTGGTTTCTACAATTGAGACTGAGCCTGTGAAAATAGGGGACTGTATTAAAAAGGAAAACAAAGTTTTGTTTTCTTTTAATGGCTGTTTTTTCTGAACATTTAATGCAAAAAAAACTTAAACCCCTTGAATTAAAGCTGGAAGTCTGGACTGATTCATTCAAAATCCACTGTTGAGGTGCACAGAGGCAAGACTACAAAAATTGCATCATTGTCCAAAAAGTCTATGGACCCCGCTGCACTTCATTTAACTCTTTCAGTCAGTCATGTTTTCCTTCAGACTTTAAATGGGGCTGCAGCATTTTTATCTTGAGGAAAGTGGCCCCCGTTGGGTTTACTCTATGAATAATTGAAGTGTACACAGAGGTAGCGTGCACACGCTATCTTTGATTTGGGTCATGGACGCAGTGAAGGAAGAAGTTTAAGGGCTCTAACCAAATATTTGCTAGGCAGTCTTTATATCCCCCTCGCTCACAGCAGTGATCATCGCGGCTCAGTTCATCTCACTGTCGCCTTCTTAGTGACTTTTCTGCTAGATTTAGCTCCCTTTCAAAGCCCCTTAGAAGCAGTTTTGCTTGTCTGCTGCTTGCAGTGCTCACTCTCTGGAGACCAAAGAATGGTATCCGGGACAGCCCTGAAAAGCTTACTGCCATCAACACAATAGATCTCTATCTGTGTGTCCTTTTTGTCAACATACTTGGTTGCTCAGCCTATGCTTTTATGTTTGCTCATGCAGTCTATCGCTGAGCTGGAGGCAGAAATGCTCAATGGCCAGAAGCTCCAGGGTCCGCAGACCTCTGCGGAGGTCTACAAGATCTTAAAAAAGAGGGACATGGTCAACAAGTAAGTCCACTAATCCTTTTACGTACAGTTACGTCTTTGTTTTATTGTTTTATATTAGCAGAACCAGTTTCCAGTCTGCTGGGTACGCCTTCATTACATTAATGGTTCAAGTCGGGCTGAATATTTACTCTGGCTGTGCTCTTCGAAGATTGGGATCGAAGTTATAAATCACAATTATGTTCTTGAAGTTTTGGTATTACCAGCAGCATGAAATCTAAATGAAACTAATAAGAATTATCAGCATTCCTGCTATCTGTAATTACCTGCAAACTGCAGTATAAACAGCCATAGTCCACACAAGCGCACACACACACACACAAGTGTTTTCACTTATATCGCCTGATTACACCTCTGATTAGACCAGCAGCTGTGGGCTCATTTTTATCTTGAACCTGTCTCGGACAATAAAGGATATTAAAATCATTAATTTTTTTATAGCCAGCAGCTTGTTTTGTTCCTGTTCCTTGACCTACAAACAGTTCATTTGCAGTGTCCTCACATCAACATGCAATAAACTTTGAGTCTCCTTCCTTCTGCAGGTTTCCTTTGTTCGCAGCCGTCTACCAGATCTGCTTTGAGGGCAGACAGGTGAAAGAGTTCATCACCTGTCTGCAGAACCACCCCGAGCACTTGTAAAGTAAACGGGGTCTGCAGACATGCTCACTGCTGCTCCTTCAGTAGAGATTTACTACCACTAGAGGGCGGAAGAGAATCATCAGAGAAACGCACAATTTAACAAAACGATGACAACCCAGGGCACTTCATATTGTCTCCGTCAGTGTCATTTAATCATGGCTCTTGCACAATATTTTCGCAGCATTTTATTATAAGTTTTGGGTTTTGTTTTTTTGCTTTTTACCAATTTTGCTTTTTTTTTAAACGTTGTGTGGCGTTAATTTCATTTGAAACTGTGGCAGGGATAAACTACCATCAAAGGCAGACCACTCCATTTGTACTACTGCCAGAATCTGTCAGTAACTATTGTCGTATGTCACTACAGGATGTCTGTTTGTAACCTGAAAATCCAGCATATTCTTTTTTAACTCTGTATGTGGAGGTGGGTTTTTTTGTTTTGGTTTTTTTGTTTTTCAATAAAACCATTCATAACAAAACAGTCTTGTCATTTCTTGTTGAAATGGGAAGCTGGTATCCTGTCCTGTGTCTGCAGCTTTATGACTGAGTGGTGTTTTAGATCCCACAGTCAGTCTGTGTTGGGCTGAAAGTGATTCCCAGGAGAGCTGCAGTAACCCAGTGTGAGAGAGCAGATTAAAGAACAAACGCCGTCCTTGTCCCTACATTTCAACCCTGTTATAGGGCAGACCGGTGAAACCTTTGATATTCTTTCAACTGGCTATCTCCATCTGCTTCCCATCCCTGTTTATCTCTGTAACATGTCCATTTAAGTCACATATTATGTCTCTAGTCTCTGTTTATGTATTTATTACCTTAAAGATACAATCTGTATTTTTTTTAAAGGATACTGAACTTGTAGATATGCACAGATTAGCATGTAATTACATCTTCCAACAAACTGACGCATCCTCATAAATGTGTTTATGGGTGCCTGTAGCTCAGGACGTAGGACAGATTCTCTGGTAATCAGAAGGTTGGTGGTTTGATCCCTGGCTTCTCCAGTCTGCATGCTACTGCATGATAATAACCCCAAATTGTTCTCTGATGTGTGTGAAGGTTAGATAGGAAAGTGCGTGTATGAATGGGTGAATTAGGTAAGTTGTATAAAAGTGCTTTGCGTACTCAGATAGATTAGAGAAGCGCTAAAGAATCAGTACATTTACATGCATGCATAGGAGCAGGTTTGCAGTTTATGGGAGCCACCACCACAGTTTCATTATTATTATTATTTTTGACATTTAAGTTTTTATTGATTTTGCAACATGTATAAGAGGGAGAAAAAAAACAAACAAACAAAAAACACAAGAAAACTGCGGGTGTGCACCCCTGCCCTTACAAGTCTAAAAGAAAGAAAAGAGAAACTAACTAACAGTGGGTTCCAAGAGAAGAAACACAGAAATGGGCAAATAAAAATGACGGTAAAGTAACATTTGGACTGGTGGTTACAGTTAATAATCCTTCAGATTATGATAATATGGTCATGATTTCCTGTTTGCTTCAGATAGCTCCAAAAGTAGTCCCAATGTTCATCTTTATCTTCTGTATCGTTTTTAAGTTTATTCAGCATGGAGTCATAAGAAGCAGTCTCTGCCATCCACCACCATATTTTAATAAAGCGGGCTGGAAGGACATCACCCTTTACACTAATGGTGTTTTATGTATGTAGCTTGAGACCAGCCACATACATATTGCACTAAAAGCTGAGGTGAAGGAATACCATCATAGGTTTCTGGTGTTGTGGACAGGCTGATACATTTATGCCTACACCTTCTGACTCAAGATATGAAAGACCATACCCATGTTTTATCACAGGAGAAGGGGTCCCCTTCACCAACGAAACGAAAACATGAATGAAAGGTACACCACCGGTTTCTTTGTAAAATGACCTCAAGCGTCAGCTTCAGAAATGAAATCAGGGTTTTAACAAATGAAAACATGTATAAACTTGCTTATTTATTTCTGATATTATTGTCACAGTAACTTATTGTCAGCAGATTAGATATGTGACCCTCTCATTTCTGGACAGCTAAGAAGGAGCCTGCTAAACAACAACCATTTAAAAACTATAAGCTGTTATTAAGAGCTAACGTATGCCATATTAGGCTCAGGATACAAAATATCACTTTACCTTTGATTACGTTCTTAAATCATAATCATAACTTCATTCAGTAAGTGTCAGATTCGAACAATGTTGTATCCACCTAAAAGAAAGTTTCACTAAGGTTGGTTAGCGGAGGTTAACAGTAGCTAACAGCGACAAAAACAGTAGCACTTACAGACATTTCAGCACATACTCAACAACTCACCTCAGAAGTTGGGCTTCTTTTATAAAGTTTTACAGTCTCTAGAGTAAATAAAGGCAAACGCTTCTTATCAAGCATTGATAGCTGAGGTACAAGGCTAAAAGCCTTCCAAAGATGAGAAAAAAATCTACTATCAATTTACATCTAGCAGTGAAATTTTGACAGACTAATGTGTTGAACAGTAACTTATATTATTTTGAAATTAAGCAAAACTAATTCGTTAACAAAGAACTAGCTAGCATAGTGGTATTTTGACTAAACTAAGATGCTTGCAAGCTTTAAATGATGTTGATGTTCAGTTTGAGATCTTAGCTTGATAGCATTAACATGTTCGCCAGTTAAAACTATGAATTATAGTTGAGGTTCATAGCTCTTTTACTTTTGCATGTGACAGTTTAAATTCAAAGGAATTACCAAAGGCGATACCAATAAACTAGATGGCCAGGCATTGTTTTTGTCAAAGTTACTGGAAACTCATTAGCGATTAATGAGTTTCCACTAATTTTTCCAGGATTGCTGAATGTCACCACCGACTGTCACCTAAACAATGGGTTAGATAAACAAAGAGATGTGCTGGCCAATCTTAGCACTTTCTCTTAGCCATAAGCAGTAGCTTATGCTAGCATTGTAAAATACCCTGAAGTTAACGTTAGATGGCGGCCCCTCCTTCAGCTTGGTTCTGCTCAAGCTTTCTTCCTTTTTAAAAGGGAGTTTTTCCTTCCCACTGTTGTGAAGCGCTTGCTCATAGGCACTGTGTGATTGTTGGAGTTTTCTCTCTTATTGTAGGGTCTTTACCTTACAAAATAAAACACCTTGAGGCAACCACAGTTTTGTCCCATCCTTAAAGATTCTGCAAATCGGCTGATTTTCTTCTCTGCTTCCCTGACATTCTTTGAAATTGTGGGGGGGGTTTGCAATCTTATGGGTGCAAGATGAAAGATGTGCATGGAGATCTAAGTAGTCTTTATAAAGCTCCTGTAATCGATGATGGGAAAGGCACCAGTTTCAGGGGGTGCACAGGTTCCCATGGGAGAGCCGGGTCTCACAAGTTGATGCCCTCATCTCCAAACAGCAACTGTCATCAGCTGGGTTTTCTGGGAACCCTGAGACTCTTGCAGTGGTTTGACAGAAGCCCAGATTCCTTGGTTCAAAGAGAAAGCTCACCTTCAGATGAGACCCGAGCTTGAAAGAAGAGCTTAATCACCACAGTGGATACAGACGTACACTGTCTGAAAGTGAGAAGCCCTTTGGACAGCGGAGGACAGCAACATCATCGAGTCAGTCTGGGAATCCATCAGGTTCTGGAAGCTTCTGCTATAGCCAGGTTATCCATTGGTTGATAACAGGTGTGCAGTTATACTCACATGGATCTGCATGAAACCAAAGCCTGCCTCATTTTGAATTGGTCAAAAAACGTGGAAACAGAAATCTTGCAGAGATTCCCATAAATATACAAATATCTGTTGACAGAGATATGGTTTGACTCCTTTATCTTATTGACTCTTCAAGGTAAAATATTAAGAATTACCTTTTGAGCTGCAGGAAAAAGTGAGTAACTCCACATCAGATTGATCTTCTCTGTTGACAGCTTAGTGGGAATCAACTGTACCAAGTATACTGATGAAAATCCCTCCCCATCACGAAGAGCTGGCTGATTAATACATTGTGTATGTTTTGCTCAACTTGTGTGAAAGGTGGAATTTAAAAACAGCAATTTGTGGTTTTAGTGGGAGTTGCACGCACCAGTTAAATAACAAAGAGACTACTTTGTACAGAAGAAATAGTCCACATAAAAGCTGTTGACAGTGCTGTTTTGTTATAATGAGATTTTGCAGTGTTTACATTTTTTTACAAGTACCACAAACTAAATCACATTTATCTTCATCCTGAAGAGTTAGAGAGAGCTCTAAGAC